CTTTACTGTTTCCGTAACATGCTCGTCCTCAGCGTCATCAGGAGTTGTCTTCCGCACATGTCGGGGATATTGCCTGCCATGGGCCGGAGTTTCTACGTCTCCCTCGTTGCGGATGTCACTGATCGAATCCTCATGTTGAGGCAGAATTTTGGGTGCCTCAACGTTATGCACGATGTTGACATCGTTAGTTGCCATTTTTTTGATTTTTGCTATGAAACAAAGAATCAAACAAGTTAGTAATAGATACAAGGATCTACTCAATTATGCAAGTGTCTTAGCCTCACGGTGGGTGCCAAACTGTTTACCTATAAAACGGTACAGTTAAATTTGTTACGTGGTTAATAGACAAGCGAACTGATTTGATCCAAAATAATTAAAAAATTAGATTAAAAATAAGACTTAGCGTTAAAATCAAAGAGAATGGCCAGCCTAGCTCTGGGAGCGACGTTTCCGAAGTCAGCAGTAAGAACTATATCAAACATCAAAACAAATTGTATTATTTAGTCTCAGAATAAAGTTTTGCATAAGTTCTGCCAGAGATTTCGTGTCCTCACAATGGTTGTTGAAGCCATTATTTATATCTATTTCTAGGGAACAAGATCTTAGGATCAAGCCCCTCTTGAATGACAATAATGGGAGCCATTGAAGAATACGTAACGGTAAGCCAAGAATGCAAATATTCTCTGCAATAGTTGTCTATTTAATACTAAGAAATATTTTTTATTAAATTCTATCTCGTGACAAACATTAATTTGCCTCGTTGACGGTGTTCCTTTACTTGATGCCAATTGAAGTTGTTGTCCTCGGTCTTGGTTTTTACTTGATTCATCCTTCATCTGCTTCCGGTTCCACGTGCCATGCAATTATTCGATCATTTAATATAAGCCAATTTTATCATATACATTAATTTGTCTATATTTTAAATTGAAATGCACTTATTCATTTCTATAGTTTAACGGAATAAGCTTGTGGCTGCATATCTACTAGGCTTAATTATCCCCTTGTTTTTGCATCACAATGAGGTACTTGTGTTTGCACAAGTTTCTTTACAATTAAGTTTCTTAATATTCCCCTCCCTACACCTTGTAAAATATGTGGATTCGCGTGCATTTAACTTTATATTCCTTGCTGGTGGAAGTTAAACGCCATTTTTTCTTATAAATTATATTTTAATTATTTGGAAGAAATCACGTGGATTCGTTTGCAATTCGGATTTTTTCTGTAAGCAAACAAGTGCCAAGTTAATAGCCAAAAAAATATATAAAATTTATATATTTTTGTATTTAATATACATAACGTATATATATAAAAAAAAATATTTTTTAACTATTATTTTGAGATCAGCTATACAATATCAGTTTTCCTACTCTCTTTTTTTCCATCAAATAAATGCGGAGATATTTACTTCCTTTAGTCTTCTATCATGATGATAAGAGGTTTGATTTTCATCACGCAGAATATGTACTTCCTATGCAGTAGTACAAATTGATTTAACGTTAGCTAATAATTGTTTGCTTTTATTTTGAAAAATAGAATAAAGGGAAGGTATTTCTTGTTTCTCGCGAGTTACTGATCAGGTTACAACACCAGAAGGGTGGTAGTCTTATAGAACTTACTAATGTTTTTGTGTGTAATAGTGGTGTTAACTTGCCTAAGATTAAAGTAGAAATATATGGTATGAAACAGGTAAATATATCAAAAGAAAATTGAATTCTTTTACAAGAAGAGAAGATTTCTTATAAATCTACTGTAGGCTGGTATTCAGAAAGCAGTAAACTTACGGCCAAATACAAAAATATGCACTGAAACTTGGCCTCAGCTGGCAAGTAAACACCCCAACTTTAGGAGTGCACATATAGACACTTCAACTTGTATAAACTTGGACCCGTAAACACAAATTTCTGGCCGGTCTAATAGGTGAGTTACACATGCTCCTATGTGGATTAGTGACCTAATCACAGGCAGCCAACTATTTTACACATGGAATTGAGATATAAAAAAACCAAAAATAAATTAAGGTCGAATTAAAGGGTGCAGAGTCGGTGAATGTATTCATTTCTAAGGGAGAAAATTTACTTTGAGTCACACAACAAACACTACTTGTACGAGACCTCATTAAAATTTGACAATTGGAGTACTTGTCCCACTTTATTAATTTTGTAAATTCTTACGAAATTCAGAAAATTTACTTTGAGTCACACAACAAACACTACTTGTATGAGACCTCATTAAAATTTGACAATTGGAGTACTTGTCCCACTTTATTAATTTTGTAAATTCTTACGAAATTCAGAAAATTTACTTTGAGTCACACAACAAACACTACTTGTATGAGACCTCATTAAAATTTGACAATTGGAGTACTTGTCCCACTTTATTAATTTTGTAAATTCTTACAAAATTCAGATCTTCTTCTCTCTCCCCCACTTTATAGTTTTCTGATTAACAACTGAATATGGATCACATATTCATAATTTATTATCAATTTACATGCATTACTTATAAGATAAAACAAAGTGTTTTAAAATTATACCGCCATTTGATCGTTCTCTCTTATTCATGAAACAAAGATCCATTTTGCAAGTTGCATCTGCTATCACTTGTGAGCACCTAATTTTTGACCATATTTAAATTTTTCATCATTTTTTAGTATGTAGAAATATTTTAAGTTTAATCTACTTAGTTTGGCACTTATTTCACATTTTTATAGGATTTATTTGAGAAAATTGAAAACCACAAAAAAGAATCACATTTTTAGTACTAGTTTTAGTTTGCATTTACAAAAAAATAAAGAAAATTACAAAAATATATCTTCTTTTAATCTAGTATTTTAATAAATAAGTTAGTCACATTTAATTATTTTAGTCATGTCTTCTTCTCTAGTCCTTTCGGCGTAGGTTAAGCTAACGTGCGTCGATCTCGGTTATGGCTGGAAAGAAGGCTCGAGGTAGACCTAAGAAGCAACAAATTCAGGTAGATGACAAAATTCCAAAGCTCAATAACATAGGAAGGAACTCAGCAACGCTTATGGAGTCTATTTCTAGAGCTTCGAAGATGCAAGTTGGATATGGTATTCTCACCAGATCCCTCATGTCGGTGCTTCAGGATCAGTTAGTCAACAACAGAAAAAGGCAAATCAAAGCCCAATCCTCATGCATGCCGACCTAAAGGGTAGTGTCACACCTCCCTCTGCTCGAGTTGCTACTGTTCCGTTGAAGAACAAGGAGAAGGAAGTTGTACCTCAAGCTTCATTACCAGTACCAGTCATTATTCTGTTACCGGAGGTGCCTAAGGAGTCTACTTTGGCTGGAGTACTAACATTTAACAGATATGCTGCTAATGGTACGACATTGAGTTACATAACTCCTGAAATTGTAGAAGGATACCTAGTGGCTAAGCTTGAAAAACCAGAAACTAAGAAGGAGAACTTGAAATGGAAGTGTGCCTTAATTGTGTATGTGATTGGTGAAAAACTGGATACAATTATATGAAGTGATACATTAATCAGATGTGGAACACTGTGACTATGCCAGAATTATATTATCATGATGAAGGTTATTACATAGTCAGGTTTCAAAATATGGCTGATATGAAAGAAAGTATATGTGCTAGTCCATATACAGTGAACAATAGACCTTTGATAATGAAGCAATGGTCTCTACAGTTAGATTTAGGCTCAGAATTCTTGACAGAAATACCTTTATGGGTAAGATTTCCTAAGATGCCTATGAACTGCTGGAGTGGTAACTCATTGAGTATAATTTCAAGCACCATAGGAATTTTAATGTTTGCAGACGAGTGCACTGCCAAACAATCATAAATTTCTTTTGCTAGAATTCTTATTGAAGTAATTGTTACCAAGCCATTACCAAGAAAGGTACCAGTCATGGATGAATCATGTGAAATATTTGAATAGGCTGTTGAATATGATTGGAAGCAAGAATTTTGTGAAAAGTGTCTTAAAACTAGGCATGAATGTGCAAAAATTCCTAAAGAGGGAGTTAAACATGACCAACAGCCCAGGAAAAGGAGGCCACCACCAGTGAAGCAGGTATGGAAAACTGAAGAAGCATCAGTAGCTTCTACTTTAGGAGAAGGCCAAAAACAGGTAGATGAATTAAGCAAGGAAGTAGAGTGTACTTCTGAGCAACCTGAGAATCTTGATGACAAGCAACTAGCAGAGGAAGGACTACAAAGACAACTAGAAAAGGGGAAGATTGCAGTAGAGATCAATGGGGTTCCAATGAACTACGCTAAAGCAATACCATCTCATGTGAAGCAAGGACCTCAACAACAAACAAGTTCAGCTGTGATGGCTAACTTGAAACCACCTGCCACAGGTGGTCCAGCTCACCCTACCCGAAGTCTTGGATGGTGTGGAACATAAGGGGTACCAACAAGAGAACAAACAAAAAGAGTTTTGTACCTATATAAAAGAGAATAATATTAAGTGAGTTGGCTTAGTAGAAACAAGAGTCAAGAAGGATAAGGCTGACCATATAGCTCAGCTAGTGGTACCATGATGGCAAACTAGATACAATTATGAAGAGGCACTTAATGGGAGGATGATGTTATGAGATCCTAACTTTTATGAGATAATATTGCTAGAATAATCTTCTCAAGTAATGCACTGTAGTATTGTTGGTCGAAAGAATCCAAAGAATTGCCTCATGACAGTAGTGTATGGCTTCAACATCATTGATTAGAGAAAACCTTGGTGGCAACAGTTACAAGCCTTATCAGCACAAAGCTCTAAACCATGGATCATCTGGGGAGACTTCAACTTAGTTTTTACAATTCAAGATAGGCTTTATGATAATCCATTCACAAGCAATGAAGTACAGGATTTCTTAGACTGTATGCACTCGTTAAACTTGAATGAGTTACCTTAGAAGGGAGAATTTTATACATGATCAAACAAGCAACAAGGTGCTGATAAAGTCTATAGCAGGATTGATAGAGCTATAGGGAATGATTACTGGATGCAAAAATATGGGCAAATGGAAGTAGAATACAGATTGCCATTAATTTCAGATCATGCTCCTATGGTAATTAGAATAAGAAGTGTTGAACGAAGTGGTAAGATTCCATTTAAATTCTTCAATGTATGGGCTGACTATCCAAACTTCCCGGCATTGGTAGAAAAAATATGGAAAGGTCACCTAAGTGCAGATCCTATGAAGAATGTCTGGTATAAGATGAAGGTTTTAAGGCCATTACTAAGGCAACTAAATAACAAGGAATTCAGAGGCATCAAAGAATACACACAAATATCCTGCTGTACAGTACTATATAAACTTATTACCAAGGTATTGGACAACAGACTCCAGAAAGTTATAGCTTCTATAATTTCAGATACACAAGCAGGGTTCATCCGAGGTAGAAAGGTGGCAGATAATGTCTTACTTGACCATGAGTTGGTTAAGTCTTATTCTAGGAAGAATATTTCACCAAGATGTTTCATCAAGGTAGATATTCAAAAGGCTTATGATACAGTGGATTGGAGGTACTTACAGCAAATGCTAGAAGGCTTGGGCTTCCCAAACAAATTCACTAAGTGGATTGTTGAATGTGTGACAACTGTTAATTATACTATACTCATCAATAGGGAAACAACTAAGCCATTTGATGCAGCTATAGGGTTGAGGCAAGGGGATCAAATATCCCCCTTTTTGTTTGCTATAGCAATGGAAAAATTGAGCAGGAACTTGAAGACTTTGAAGCAGAAGAAGGCTTTTCATTATCATCCCATGTGTTCAAGGCTGGATTTAACTCACTTAAGTTTTGCGGATAATCTCCTCTTATTTGTAAGAGGAGATGCTGCATCTATAGCACTACTACATGACAGATTCAATAGTTTCTCAGCAGCATCAAGTCTTAAAGCTAACCTAGCCAAAAGCTCTATTTACTGTCGAGGGGTCAGCTTAGAAATGAAGCATGATATACATCAAAAACTAGGCTATAGTCAAGGATCTCTCTTTTTCAGATATCTGGGCATACCACTTGACACAAAGAAGCTCTTTGTAATGCAATGGCAGCCACTCATTGATAAAATAGTGGCTAGGATATCCTCTTGGAAAATAAAGAAGCTCTCATATGCAGGCAGAATTCAATTTGTGCAACATGTAAACTTTGGTATTCAAGCTTATTGGGCTCAAATATTCATCATACTGGCTAAAATTGTCAAAGCAATTGATGCCTACTGTAGAAGCTATGTGTGGTCGGTGGAGAATATAATTACTAAAAAAGCTTTAGTGGCATGGGACATGATATGTTCACCTAGAGCAACAAAGGGGCTTAACTTGATCAACTTGGCACTATGGAATAAGGCTGTAATCACAAAAACATGTTGGGAATTGGCAAACAAAAAAGATAAGCTTTGGATCAAATGGATCTATAGTTACTACATTAAGGATCAAGTCTTTGCCACCATGGGAGCACCAAAGCAGGCATCATGGATGGTCAGGAAAATATTTGGAGCAAGGGGTAATCTGGATGTCATCAGCAATAGCGAGACTTACCTAAGGAATGTAATCAAACATGTTTACTTGCAACTATTAGGAGAGCTATCTAAAGTCTCATGTAAAGGTTTAATGTATCAGAATCAAGCACGACCAAAAGTAGTCTTCACAGTGTGGCTACAAATTCAAGGAAGATTGCTCACTACTGACAAATTGAAGAACTGGGGAATACAAGTGGAAGACACATGCTGCTTTTGCAATCAAACACCAGAAACGAGGGATCATATATTTGCAGAATGTGCATTTGGTAGAAGCCTATGGTCAAGACTCATGCAATGGTTACAGATACAACAACCATCTACAACATCATGGTTTGATTGACAGCACTAGATTGTAATGAAAACAAAGGGGCGATCTCAGCTAGCCAGGATACTCAAACTAGTGTATGCAGAAAATACAAAAAGTGTGGATTGAGAGAAATGCAAGGATATTTGAGAAGCAAGTAACAACATGGGATGTACTTGTAAGGAGAGTGGTCTCCATGTGCAATATTAGAACCGAGGGTTATACTCATGTCCTTCTAACAAAATATAATTACTGAGTAGTTATGTAACAACCCGACCGGTCATTTTGAGCTTTAGCACATCGTTCAGCGGTTTGAGGCCTTGGGTAGCTTCAATTCAGGTATTATGACTTGTACGTGTGGTCGTAATTAAATTTCGGAAAGTTCAGAGTTGACTTGGAAAGAAAATTCTAATTTCGGATGCTTTAAATTGGAAATATTGACTAAGGTTTGGCTTTTAAGTAAACGACCTCGGAATTAGGATTTAAAGGTTCCAATAGGTTTGTATGATTATTTTGGAGTTGGGCGTATGTTCGTATTGAGTATCGGATCACCAGGGAGCATTTCGACGCTTATTATGGAAGGATGGCATTTTGAAGGCTTAAGAATTTCCGAAGTTTGGTTTGAAGGAGGCTTTGGTGTTATCGATGTCCGTTTGCGATTCTGAACCTTGGAATGAGTTCGTATTGTGATGACTTGTACGCAAAGTTTGGTGTCATTCCAAAATATTTTGGTATGGTTCAGACGCGTTCGTCGAAGTTTAGAAGTTTAAAAAGATTTAAGAAGGATTTTGGTCATCGATTCATAGTTTTGATGTTGTTTGATGTGATTTGAGGCCTCGAGCAAGTTCATGTCATGTATTGGGATCAGTTGGTATGATTGGACGGGGTCTCGGAGGCCTCGGGTGAGTTTCAGATAGAAATTTGTAAGTTAAGGAATGCTAGTTTTGGCCAATTACTGGTGCAATCGCACCTGCGGAACGGGGCTACAGATGTGACTCTGCAGAAGCGGCTAGGCTAGCGCAGATGCGGATTTTGCTGGGGGAAGGCTGAGACCACAGATGCGATCGAGTGTCCGCAGAAGCAGAACCGCACATGCGGGTAAGGAATCACATAAGCGACCTCGCAAAAGCGAGGAAGAGGGCCGCAGAAGCGACCAGAGGTGATCAGCGCAGACAACGCAGGTGCGAAGCAATTCCCACACCTGCGTGAGCGCAGATGCGGTGCCTGGAGAGTAGAAGCGGGCAGGTATGTTAGGCACGACTTCGCAGAAGTGTGGATTTTGCCGCAGAAGCGGAAGGTCGTCTGGGCAGAGGTGCTTTTATAAAAATGGGATTTGGCCCATTTTCTTCCATTTTTACATGGTTGGGGCAATTTTGGAGAGTTTCAAAGGGAGATGTTCATCAAGCAACACAAGGTAAGTGACTCCCACCTATTACAAGTTAAATACATGGTTTGTATATGGATTTAGATAGAGAAATTAGTAGGAATTTGGGATTTTGGTGGAAAACCTAAAATTTGGCATTTTTGGATTTTAACCACGAAATTGGACACAGAATTAGTAATAAATTGTATACTTTAGTTCGTGGTGTTATGGGTAAAGTTTATCTTCGAAATATTCGGAATCCGAGCACGTGGGCCCGAGGGTTATCCTTGTTGGATTTTTTTAGCGGAGTTGGAATCATTATAAATTGTTACATTATACGTATTGGGGTATATTTTGATTGGTTTACATGTTGTTTTACTAGTTTTGAAGAGACGAGCACCGTGTTGAGGTGTTTGAGTGACTTTGGAGCCTGTTATGGAACTTCGGAGCGAGGTAAGTCTCATGTCTAACCTTGTGAGGGGGAAACTACCCCTAGGTGATATTTATTGTTATGTGCAAGTAGTTGTGGGTGCGACGTACGCACGAGGTGACGAGAGTCCGTACATAGCTAAAGCATGTTTATGTCCGGGTAGACTTAGGATCTTATCATGAAATGTTAGAATTTATTGAATTCACTCTGCTGGCTTAATTAATTGAAGTTATAACTGAAATCGATTTAGAAATAAATATATGCACACTAGGCCAAGCCTTAACACTTTGAGTTTTGGGTGAGTTATTTGAGAAATGGTAAAGATTATATTCATTTTATGCCCATGTGTTGTATTGTAAACACGTGTCTCGTAATTCAGTAACTTCCTTTATTTTCTTGTGGAGAGGGCCGAATGCCTCGGCTGTATATAGATGCATATATGGTTTGTGTCGCACGACCCTCGAAAGTGTACGCATTATTCCGGATTGGTACGAACGTCCACGGCAGAATCGTGCGCTATATCGCTAGTAGTCTGAATATTCACGAGCTAAACTTTCCACTGATGCCCAACATTTTATATGGTATTCCTTACTTATTTGATAATGACACTTGACATTTTTCTAAGATGTTAAGGTAGAATATAAGATTTAGAAATTTATGCTTCGAAAGAATAAATTGAAAGATTATGTAACTTACAGATTTACCCCATCATTGTCGTATGCCTCATATCTTCTATGTTTTATTATATTGCTTTATTGGACCTTTAGTAAGTGTCGATGTCGACCTTTCGTCACTACTTCTCCGGGGTTAGACTAGATACTTATTGGGTACGCGTTGATTTACTTACTCATGCTGCACTTCTGTGTAGGATCTGACAGGTTCATTGATGATCAGTTTGGCGCATAGGCGCACTTGTTGAGGAGCCTTCACGTGAGCTACATTTCAGGCTACGCATCGCAGCCCATCGAGTCTCCATTGTACTATTTATTTTATTCTGTCTTATTATATTCGGGACAGGTGTTGTATTATTATTGTATTCCTTAGAAAATGCTCATGCACTTGTGACACTGGGTTTTGGGGGTTCCTATGGGTTGTTCGTTATTGTAGTTGTGTAAATTCTATTTCATACGATTTGATTCAGGAAAATTATGGTTTCAAAATACATGAATGGGTAATTAAGTTGATCAATCACCGTTGGCTTGCCTGGCAGTGATGATTGGTGCCATCACGACCTTTAGTGAATTTTAGGTCATGACAGCTTGGTATCATATCATTAGGTTCACTTAGGTATCACGAGTCATGATCAACTCTAGTAGAGTCTGGCGGATCATTACGGAGACGTCTGTACTTATCTTCGAGGGGCTATAGGGTTGTTAGGAGCACTTCCATTGTTGATTCCTCATCGTGCAATTTGATTCCATTGAGGCTTGTACCTTTATTTCCTTCCTACTCAATCCTATGCGATGTGAAGCGCTTGTTTTCAATTGGATGTCTAGGAGTTATATTGGTACTGCACATGTGGTGCAGGATGTTTTTCCCTGTGTGTTCGGGCAGACTGTTATCGTCACCTTGCGGAAGGATGTTCTTTTGTTCCTGCTCAGTATTTGTATTTCCTATGGTTTTGAGGCTATGCACATCTTGCTATCATGTCCATGAGTTACCACACCATGTTGGTGTAATGGTAGAGTGCTTATTTATGTATCGCGGCAGCGAATGACTTGAAAGGAGGATTTCTTAGTGCATGATTTAGAGATTTAACATTTAATTCCAGCAAAGGAAAGGCAATCGGACTATGGACATTAAGGTTTTGGTTGATGGAGTAATGAGATTTGGTAGTTTTGAGCGTGGTAAAATTTTTATTGTGATGCAGTGTCGTCATCCTTGTTTGAACACATTACGATTCGCCAGTGTTATGGTCACCTTTGATTTTGCCTTCGGGGAAGGGTGTTGTGAAATGGTGCTTGAGGGGCGGTTGTCAGAGATAGTTATGTGCAGCGGTTCAGAATCGAATTATTTTCTAATGTTGATGGCTCAAGAAAGATGATCTTCGAAGAGGCTTAGAGTCAGTAACAATTTATTGGTTAAGGTACTACAGAGATGGATTTTTGATTTGATGCAACAATTGAGCAGCGAAGTATGAGGAAGGACATGGCGGGAAGTGTTTCGCGGTGGTTGAAGTACTAGCAGGTCAATTATGAAAAGCAGAGGTTGAGAAGTTGCTTAAAGGAGATGGTTCAACTGAAGTAAGAGTGGCAGATTAGCATATAGATTATGTGGTAGGATAGCCGCGTGCCTTGATAAGTGTAGAACGGTTTGGGAATCGCGATGGAAGGTGACCCGGTCTACGGATTTTATTTGGAATGGTGGTTACTGTACGAAGAAAGATTAAATGTGGCAGAAAGGAGTTGCTTGAAATAAAGAGGGTGTGAAGATTTGATTATCGTTTCTGATGCAATATGATTTGAATTTGGAAGGTATTGTTGAACTTTTAGTTGATGTCAATGGGGAAGGAACATACTTATACAACTGGTGGGCGAGCATGGGCTTAGGAGAATTTAGTGATTACGTGGTAGTTTTACCCAGTGCAGCGTCGTTGGAAGGTGTCGGTAAGGAATCCCACATGTGGGTTATCTCCTGTGATCATGTTAGCGGTTGCGTGATATTGATGAAGCTTCTGCGAAGAATACCACTTGCTACCTAGTAAGAGGTTTTATATGTGATTGTGACTGGTGATTCAGAATGTTCATGAAAAGCTTAACAAAACACTTCGAGAATTTTGGAGGGTTAACGGTGCGAGATCATAGTAATTGAGAAGGAGGAATCATTGTGTGCTCTATATTACGTGGTGTTAGCTTAAAGCTAAGTAGGGGAGCCCACCGTCTACGATTGGATCGCGTGGGTATCTGCTTGTACGATTTTTGGTTATCGGTGTATTGGTGGATATTTATAACTAAGAAAAGGAAACATCAGGGGAAAATTCAATAAAGAACTTTATGGACGTATGCTATATTCGGCTTTATTGATGCATGTTCAGGTTTTTGGAAAGACTCGAAGCTTATGCTTTTATGGATGAGATGTACAAGGAAAAGAGTTCAGCCGGTTTCTTCTACGAGAGGGTATTCATGTGCTAGTAGAGTGTTAGAGTTTGGTTATATTTAGGACCAGGTCAGAGTGGGTGACTCTCGACAACGGTCCTAGTGGGTTCAAGAATTAAAGTGCAGTATTAGAGGAAAAGAAGAAATA